GTAGCCTGTCTGCTGACAGTGGCCAGCACCAGGTGCCCCAGAGAGAGTGGACCGAAGACAATGATCAAGCGATTTGTCTCCTGCCATCCCTCTCCAGCCTCTGACAAACAGAGGCCAAGGACACCATTTTATCCCCTGGCTAATAGCCTTTTATGGACCTAACCTCCATGAAATTATCTAGCTTCTCTTTAAACTCTATTATAGTCCTAGCCTTCACCGCCTCCTCTGGCAAGGAGTTCCACAGGTTGACTACACGCTGTGTGAAGAAGAACTTTCTTTTATTAGTTTTAAACCTGCTACCCATTAATTTCATTTGGTGTCCTCTAGTTCTTCTATTATGGGAACTAATAAATAACTTTTCTTTATCAGCCCTCTCCACACCACTCATGATTTTATAGACCTCTATCATATCCCCCCTCAGTCTCCTCTTTTCTAAACTGAAAAGTCCCAGTCTCTTTAGCCTCTCCTCATATGGGACCCGTTCCAAATCCCTAATCATTTTAGTTGCCCTTTTCTGAACCCTTTCCAAGGCCAAAATATCTTTTTTGAGGTGAGGAGACCACATCTGTACACAGTATTCAAGATGTGGGCGTACCATAGTTTTATACAGGGGCAGTAAGATGTTCTGGGTCTTATTTTCTATCCCTTTCTTAATAATTCCTAGCATCCTATTTGCCTTTTTGACTGCCGCTGCACACTGTGTGGAAGTTTTCAGAGAACTGTCTACGATAACTCCAAGATCTCTTTCCTGATTTGTCGTAGCCAAATTAGCCCCCATCATACTGTACGTATAGTTGGGGTTATTTTTCCCGATGTGCATTACTTTACACTTATCCACATTAAATTTCATTTGTCATTTTGTTGCCCAATCACTCAGTTTGATGAGATCTTTTTCCTGGTTTGTCGTAGCCAAATTAGCCCCCATCATACTGTACGTATACTTGGGGTTATTTTTCCTGATGTGCATTACTTTACACTTATCCACATTAAATTTCATTTGCCATTTTGTTGCCCAATCGCTCAGTTTGGTGAGATCTCGTTGGAGTCCCTCACAGTCTGCTTCTGTCTTGACTATCCTAAACAGTTTGGTATCATCCGCAAACTTTACCACCTCACTGCTTACCCCTTTCTCCAGATCATTTATGAATAAGTTGAACAGGATTGGTCCCAGGACTGACCCTTGAGGGACACCACTAGTTACCCCTCTCCATTCTGAAAATTTACCATTTATTCTTACCCTTTGTTTCCTATCTTTTAACTAGTTCTCAATCCATGAAAGGACCTTCCTTCTTATCCCATGGCAATGTAATTTACACAAGAGCCTTTGGTGAGTGACCTTGTCAAAGGCTTTCTGAAAATTTAAGTATACTATATCTACTGGATCTCCCTTGTCTGCATGTTTGTTAACCCCTTCAAAGACAGAAACCATGTTGACTTTTGTCCAACAAATTATGTTCTTCTACGTGCCTCGCAATTTTATTCTTTACTATTGTTTCAACTAATTTGCCCAGTACTGAAGGCAAACACTAGACTAAATCATATAATTTATCTTTACTTTTGGAAGACATAACTGTGCAAGTAAAACCCCAGTCAGACAAGATAGAAACTCTGATGTTTCTGATTTTCTTGTGGCTTAGAGAATTTCTGTTTGTTTTGAGATTGAATAAGTGTGCAACTTGGCTTTAGAATTCTAGATAAACCTTATACTCCTTAAGCATGATGCATAATACTGATTCCAGTTCAGGTGATTTAATGATACGACTTTGATCAGCTGTGATGGGAAATGGACTGTAGACAGCTATGCATGTTATTGTGACTTACAGAGCTTAAATGCTGCTGAAAGTAGCTATATGCTTCATTTACGAAATCTGAGAGTTAGGTTGCTTTTTTCCCCTAGGTGGTATTAGTACCAATAACACTGGTAATGTTTGGGATGTATGACAAAATGAGTATGTTCCTCCAGCAGTTTAATCATCCAGCAGATGATCACTTTGGGTGTGTCTGTACTGCAATTGGAAACCCACAGCTGGCTCATGACATCTGATTTGGGCTTCCAGAGCTTAGGCTTGCAGTATTTGGGTTTTTTTTATGTGCTGCCCACACCCTATCCCTCTCCTCTACATGTAGTGAAACCAGCACGTTTCTAATAATTAAGGTCCTTTCATATCACTTGAAGAGGAAGCAGAATATGATCATTAGGATCCTATTTTCCAACATGCATTAGCAATACTTTTAGATCGTTCATTTAAGACAATTACTTAAAGATGTCTGAGCTCTGCCCCCAAAGGCCACTGAAGTCAGTGAGGATTCCCAGTGACTTCAGTGGGCTGTGTATCAGGACCTTAGTGGTTTAGGGCTAGACTATGAACACTTCAGTCCCATTCATGAGTAGTTAGTCCTTTTGCATTCAGTGAGACTGTTTGTATACAAAAGTGCCCACGAGTGGGAGTAAGAGGTTCACAATGTAGCTCAGAGCCCATAATCCAGCAAAGCAGTTAAGTTCATGCTTAACTTTAAACGCCAAAGTGATCAAGTGTAGTCTAGACTAGGGCCTTTGTGAATAGTAGATTAAATTAGGTACCAGCTAGTTTTCTGTGCTAAGCGGAAGTTGCTGTGCCCAGATATGGGACTTGGAAAATTTATAAACATGCCTATATTTAAAAATTGAGGGCAAGCCACTGAACACTGTGGTGTGATCCTGCAAAGATCTTAGGTATGTGCTTAACTTTGAGCACATGAATATAGCCATTGACTTAAGTAGTGGTGAGCTGCCATTGTCTTTCTAGTTCCTGAACATTATAAGCATTCAGCATATGGATATCTAGAATCTACTGGACTGTACCTGAACCACAAGGTAAGAAATAAAACAGTCACACACCAATTAACATTCATTGCATTTTATTTGAATTCTCTTTCAGCAAG